ATGGTATCTCACATACTTATCTGGCTCCCATCGTGGCAAGATCTGAGTTCCTCCCAAATATTTATCTTCACAGCTACCTTATGTGGTGAAGTATTATTAGCCATATTCTGCAGATAGAGATCTGAGGGACAGAGATGAAGTTACTTGCCACATTATCAGGAAACCTATGGTAGAGGTGGGAATTGAACACAAATCTCCTATGTCCCTGACAAGTACCTTCCACATATGACTGTTTTCCTACAGAGTAATCAATTTATTCATCATTGCTTTTACTTTAAGAATATAGGGGAATGAAATGGTGCATGTTGTTAATCTGTACTGTCAAATGTTGCATTGTACAATGTCTTTAAAATATGATATGAGACACACAAGGTGGGTGATGTAATATTTTCTATTGGAACAACTTCTCTGTTGGTGGAAGTTTGTCCAGTAAAAGATGTTATCTCACTCACTTTGTCTCATGTCGTGGGATCAACACTGCAAAAAAAAAATTGGATGACCAGTTTAACTAATTGTTTTTCACAGCAAATTATTTGTGCTAAAACTGTAATTACTTTGGATAAATTTATAAAATTGTATTAATATTTATATTGATGTATTCAAATTTTCAATATTTTTGCTAAACCTCTAAATTGTGTTAAGTATTCTTATTTCTTAATTTATCTGGCTTCTCTTACAAGTTTCCAAGTAATCTGCCTAATTTAAAATTATATACTGGTACATATCTTACATCATTGTACGGTTATGTTGTTTCCAAATAATGGGTGGAGACAAAGAACATAGAATAATGGGTAACCGAAGCCTAACAAGAATGTTAACCGTGTACCCTTGCTTATTTCTGATTCCAGCAGGTGTACAACAGAAAGGCTTGTCTGACTTGTACTAGAATGACTGACTATATTTTTTTTGTCTTTCCTTCAGAAGTTTTATATTTCTGTCAGACCTGATTGTTTCTCATAAAACTTGATTTTAGGGCTGTCAAGCAATTTAAAAAATTAATTGCGATTAATTGCACAATTATAAAAATTAATCAAGCGATTAATCGCACTGTTAAACAATAATATAATATCATTTATTTAAATATTTTTGGATGTCTTCTACATTTTCAAATATATTGATTTCAATTACAACACTGAATACAAAGCGTACAGTGTTCACTTTATATTTATTTTTGATTACAAATATTTGTACTGTAAAAAACAAAACAAATTGTATATTTCAATTCACCTAATATAAGTACTTTAGTGCAATCTCTTTATCATGAAAGTTGAACTTACAAATGTAGAATTATGTACCAAAAAAACTGCATTAAAAAGTAAAACAAAGTCCACTCGGTACTACTTCAGCCAATCGCTCAGACAGACAAGTTTGGTTACATTTGCAGGAGATAATACTACCTGCTTCTTGTTTACAGAGTCACCTGAAAGTGAGAACAGGCGTTCACATGGCAGTGATGTAACTGGTGTCGCAAGATATTTACGTGCCAGATGCGCTGAAGATTCATATGTCCCTTCATGCTTCAACCACCATTCCAGAATATATGCGTCCATGCTGATGATGGGTTCTGCTCGACAACGATCCAAAGCACAGCGGACCGATGCATATTCATTTTCATCATCTGAGTCAAATGCCACCAGCAGAAGGTTGATTTTCTTTTTTGGTGGTTCGGGTTCTGTAGTTTTTGCATCAAAATGTTGGTCTTTTAAGACTTCTGAAAGCATGCTCCACACCTCATCCCTCTCAGATTTTGGAAGGCACTTCAGATTCTTAAACCTTGGGTCGACAGCTGTAGCTATTTTTAAAAATCTCACATTGGTACCTTCTTTGCGTTTTGTCAAATCTGTAGTGACAGTGTTCGTAAATCAAACAACATGTGCTGGGTCATCATCTGAGACTGCTATACCATGAAATATATGGCAGAATATGGGTAAAACAGAACAGGAGACATAAAATTCTCCCAAAAGGAGTTCAGTCACAAATTTAATTAACACATTATTTTTTTAACAAACATCACCAGCATGGAAGCATGACCTCCAGAATGGTGGCTGAAGCGTGAAGGGGCACACGAATGTTTAGCATATCTGGCACGTAAATACCTTGCAATGCCGGCTACAGAAGTGCCATGTGAATGCCTGTTCTCACTTTCAGGTGACGTAAATAAGAAGCAGTCACCAGTATCTCCCGTAAATGTAAACAAACTTGTTTGTTTTAGTGAGTGGCTGAATAAGAAGTAGGACTGAATGGATTTGTAGGCTCTAAAGTTTTACATTGTTTTGTTTTTGAGTGCAGTTATGTAACCAAAAAAAAATCTACATTTGTAAGTTACACTTTCACAATAGGGATTGCACTACAGTACTTGTGTGAGGTGAATTGAAAAATACTATATCTTTTGTTTATCAATTTTACAGTGCAAATATTTGTAATAAAAACTACAATAAAGAAGTACAAAGTACTCTACGCTTTGTATTCTGTGTTGTAATAGAAATCAATATATTTGAAAATGTAGAAAAACATACAAAAATATTAAATTTCAATTGGTAGTCTATTGTTTCATAGTGCAGTTAATTGCGATTAATTTTTTTAATCACAGTTAATTTTTTTGAGTTAATCATGTGAGTTAACTGCGATTAATCAATAGCCCTACTTGTTTTATATCTGCTTGAATATATAGTACTCACAGGTTAAAATAACGTTAAAAGTCTGATTCTAATTCTAAGGGGGAAATTCAGAGTTAAGAATGGATTGGTCTACTATAAGGACTCAATTAAATTTAATGCAATGGTTGCAACCTTAAGTTTGAGTATTTAAACATAAAAATAAAGTAGATTCTAAATTGTAGCTCACTCAGTAGTTGTAAGAGCTGCTTGTTTTGTAACACATCTATATCTAGATATGTTGTCACCAGTCGTGACTTTGTAGTTAAGATTGAGTTCTATTTTGCACTTAAATCCATGTATTCAACCTTCATATGTATAAATACAATACAGCATATCGTCCGCTGACTTACATCATTTACTATTTGAGTACAGCATGAATTTCTGAGCATTTACAAGTAAATCTGTTAATTAGTGTGAGCTAATAATAGTAATTAAAAACTGAGTCCTTTAAGAAATTTAGCGTGAGTCTTTTTCTCAGTTCTAAATGATAACAGACTAACAACACTCTGAATTTCCCACATAGTTAAAAATGGTATCTTGTTCATAGGCTATATTTGAAGAAATTAGATTTAATAATTTAACTTAATTACAGTGTTGTACCTAATTGTTTATGAACATATGGAGTCAGGTAAACAACTCAGGTAACTCTTAAATGGGCCATTGTTACCTCAGAAGTATCTCACTCCATCACCATCCTTCTACAGTTAATTTGCATGCAATGGTTATTTTGATTGTAAGGAGTCAGTGGTATGGGATAGACTGCGGTCATGTGCCATGAATTCTTATTGGCAGATTACTTTGACCCAACTGTCACTGCTCTTTAAAAGTTCCAAGACCACATGCTAGCTTTGGCATCAGTATTTGAAAACTCCTCAAGGCACTGCTGCCACAGCTCCACTGCACATCCAGACAACTCTGCTGGGGGATCTGACATAGGAATACAGTGGGAACCTTCGAAGTGGAGACACAGGGGTTCAGGTATGGGGCACCCTTCACTCCTCTCACATAGCACCAGTCTCACTAATACTGCCCAATAACCAATAAGTCAGTTGCACGATAATAGCCAGCTGTTCTGTGCTGTTCCAGTGATGCAAAGTTTCTGTGAACCTGGTTTAAATGGGTTGGCTGCTTTGTGCTGCTCTGATGTAAGAGTGGATAAGGTTTAAAGTTAACAGTACATCTCTTCAAATAACTAGAAATAGCACATGGTTGCATTTTCATTGGATTTCTTATTTAGTGTTCATGTTCATTAGCTTTTAACTTTAAAATAAACCAAGGAAATTCCAAGATAAAATACTGGTAAAATGGAGGTAAGACTGAGAGTATGTAACAGTAATTAGTGATTTTAAAAAAATACAGAGCTGTTGTAATTTATCCCCAAACCAAGCATTACAAATTGGAAAATTGAGAGTTAAACTTATACTTAAGAGAGATCCAAAAACATGTTATTGTATGGAAATACAATATTAAGGCATTCAAACATCCTTAATTCTGCCCTGTAGTGTCACCATGAAAGTGAAAATATGAAAAAATCCTGTCTTTAAAAATCAGTTTAATCTAATCTGTGGCCTCAAACACTAAAAATGCCTTCATTATAATGCTGTGGTTACTGCCCCTTCCCCCCCCCCCCCCAAGTCATGCATGTTTGTATATGAAAGGCAGTGTAGGTAGTGATACCTATTGTTAAAATTGCCTAACACTTTCCACTATAAGATGCTGTTTTCAGTTTCTTATACATTTGTCAAACTTTAACCTTTGGGCTGTAATTTTCCATGCCAGATGCCTACCTTAGCTTGAATTGTTTTTGAAAATTTTAGCAAAAGTGGTTCAACCATTTCTTAGAACAAGAATTGTGGAAAAAATACATTGTTCTGTCTATGTTAAAAAATTCTTAAAACTGTTAAATTGAGATGCTCTAGTGCCCCATTCTTTGGAGCAGGGACTCAAGATTTGTCATGGGGTATTGCCCTTGTGTCAGGGATACTCTTGATCATCTCCATGAAAATTTGCCAAAATTTGGCCAAATTATGAGCCCCAGAACATCTCAGTTAACACGTTTGGCAATGCTTCGAAGATTGTACTAAGCATGCTCCAGCCCAGGGATGAAGGGGCAGAGCAAGGCTTTCCCTGCAGTTGCTCCTCCTCACTATTAAGAGCCTGGGGGTGTCAGGAACAGGAACTGATAGCAGCAAGACTGGGTCTTCTGTGCTCTCAGTGGTCTCCATGCTGGCTCCGAGGGAGCAAGGGGGAGGAAGCAACTTGACTGGAATGTAGACGGGTTCCCTGAGGTGGTAGGAAAAGGGTTTGGGGGTGGTGGGAAGATTGGGACATAGAGCTGAGGAAATGGGGGCCTGGGATGAGGAACCAAAGTTGCAGGGTATAATATACATGCTGTTAAATTGTGCCTTAATATAGGTCAGTAATGTATTCAAGTTACTGTTTGGGGAAGTCAGAATTCAAGGGGAGTTTGGTGTAAGGTGAGCAGGCATTGATTCTTATGTATTGCTGTTTGGTGTACAGCATTCTTAAATGCAGAAAATGGTTAAATTTGTAGTGTATACATTTATTTCAGATTGGTTCTAATTATGAGATTACCGTAATAAAATAAATATGGTTAAACTTGTTTTATTAATGGTCAGTACACAGATTAAGGGACCTATTCCGAAAGGTACATGTTTAAATCTGTCCCTATTCTGAACAGGACTTATGCACTTGTGTAATATTTAAGAATGTGCTTAAAGTTAAGTATGTGCTTTAGTGCAGTGTATAATAGGGATGCTTTTATGAATCCATGCCTTAGTCATTTGACTTAATGGGAGGTACTTTTGTATAAAATTGTTCTATTCAGACCTAGTATTAATGGTGCTACCCCACTACAAATAATAGAAGACATCTATTAAAGCTTAGAAATCAGCCTATAAATTCACTGTTCGCTTTTCCAGATAAGTTTAAATTCTTATTTTAATTTTTATATTTTGACAGTTCAGTCTTCAAGGAGATTCTCTGGAAGTGCAAATCCAAAACATAATGATTTGAAAATAGTAGGATCAACCACATTTCCAGGTATTCATAAATGGAATAATAAACCTTAGTTTTTACTGATGGTTAAAATAATAACTATGGGGATTGCGGTCACTATTTTGCCATTAGTATGCTAATAGCAAGCAACTCCTATATCCCCTTTTTAACAGACCCAGATGGTGGAGTGTGGTTGCTTCCTTTCTGGTTGGCCGAGATAGGGATTTGTATAAGAGTGAGTTGGCTAATACTTTATCCAAATAAGAAAGAAAGATGTCTTGTGGGGAAGGATCTGGAGCATGCTGGGGATGGATTCTTTTCCCATTGAGAAGCAGGTGTGCCCATCCTTCATTTATGAGATTTGTAGTTTAGAGATACTTCTTGACCTTCAGTTGATCCCAGAGTCTAGCCTTCAGTGGCCAATGTGCTTTTTTTCCCACTGGTGTTTTTGCACAACAGTTGTGACTTTCTCCCTCAGATGCAGACCTTGCCAAATACCTGTGCCTTTGGATTGGAAATGGGATTTTATATTCTCCCTATAATTTGTGTTTTGACCTATGACTATTTTTTTTGCAAATTTTAAAGGATTAAGTTTAAGATTGGGTGAGTAATGTAAACCAAGTGGGAGGTGGTGAGTAATATGGCACTGGAGAACTAGCTGGATCCTTTAATTGTTAATTTCCCAGCCTAACATTTGGTTTATTTAAAAGGTATAGAATTTTGGTAAACAAAATGTAATACTGTGTTTTGGAGTTACCTGGATTTCACTGTAACATACTTACAACCTTAATACCTTAACTAAATCTTTCTTTTTTGTGGAATAGAAATACTCATTCATCACACACAACAAAGTTTATGTTCCATGCCACATAAGGTCAGGAAAGCAGCTTCTAAAGGTTCTTGTGGGATTGTGGGTACTTGCTATACACCTATCTTCTCCTGAGTTAGATTCTTACTGTTAAAATTATGGATGGTTCCACATAAATTTTTGAAAGGGCACAAAGAAGGCCCCCAATCCACATTTTCACAGGCCAGCTAGAACTGCAAGAGCCTATTATAATGGCAAAATTACCCAGGCTCCAAGCTAACTCTCTGTCCCCGCACATTGACTTTATGTACAAATTGAACTCTAGGGGAGACAAAATAAAACTCTGCAGGACCCCACAAGTGAGAACCCATTGGATTAATATGCAAACATATTCTGTTCTGTCAAAAGGGTCATTGGTGGGCACTAGGAGGTACTGTTCTTTTTAGAGAACTAGATTAAATCAAGTCAGGTAGAAGAGACCTAGATGTTATAGAAGAATATGAAATAGAACTGGAACAAATCTCCAGTGCTTTTCATTTGATTTTATGTAGGACAGAAAAAGAATCTTTAACATTTCACGTCTGGTGATGGAAATAAGAGGACCCATCCCAATATCTTGGGTCATTCTTCAAACATATATTTTAAGATTGTGGTTATTATCTTACTTGACTGTACAGACAATTTATTACCTAAGAAACTTGCTAATTACCATATGTTGTATTTTCAGTCAAAATTTATGTCAAGTTGAATCACAACAGTCCACGTATTCTATGTGTAACAAATCGGCTACGAAATTCAGAGCTGATAGATCCAGTATTCCAATGGCATGGACCAGGAGGTGACCTTGTTGCAGGTAGAGATTTGTTTTCTTGCTTCATTCTTAATTTTTCCTATGGTGGTATATGTGTTGATATCTAACTTGGGATGGAATATTACTTACAGGATTTATTATGTTCCTGCTTCTCAAAGAGTTTTTTAAAAAAGAAGTATTGTTAACAAAACTGCACCTAAACCACGTAGGTGGAAGGGAAAGGTAAAAGAAATTTTAAGATGAAATTGAGGTAACTGTTGTGACAAGATGGCCGATGTTAGTCTGGTGGGTCCTGCGCTTTTCTTGGCGGGGAGCTAAGATACCACTCCTTGCCCCTGTTCTTGGGGCGTCGATGGCTCTGCTAGTGGCCCAGGAAGGTGGTAAAGGAGGGAAGCGGGGGAGAGGTCTGGGTTTGCTCCTCACTCTGAGCCCAAGCCCCCTCAACCCCTGTGTGTTCTAACCCTCTTTCCCCTTGGGTGGGGTACCTGCCGGTCCTTAGATGCTGGGGAAGGGAATCTCCCTCCTCTACTGGGTAGGGTCCCCCTTACTTCAGTTCTCTGATTTTTCCAGGTCTCACAGCACACCTCCAAGCTCCAGTCCTCTCTCCTTTCTCCTCTTTCTCTGTCTGCCTGAAGCAGGGGGGTTTTATTAGGTTCCTAACAGGGCCTTAATTGATGGCAGGTGCTCCAATTAACCTGCAGCCACCTTCCCTAGTCTACAGGGAACCATGCCTTAATTAGCCTTGAGTTTATATATTTCCACTCTAGCACTCTCCCACTGCTCCCTGGCTCTCCTGTATCACACTATATATAATTATAAAAAAAAAAATTGGGGAATGTGGCGAAAAAAGTATTTCTTCTTCGAGTGCTTGCTTATGTCCATTCCATGCTAGGTGTCCATTCCATGCTAGGCCTACTCTAGTCCTGTTCAGCGGGTTCTTTTGGAAAGTAGAAAGCCCTCCATGAGTGTGACTTACCTGGCAAAGTGGAAGTGCTTCTTCTGCTGGGTGTCGGAGTGGAATATCAACCTGACCCAGTCGTCTCTGCAGTCCATTCTGGATTACCTGCTTTACTTAATAAAGCACGAGGGCCTGGCCTTCTCTTTGATCAAGGTGCACCTGGTGGCCATATCAGTCTTCTATCTCCACAGCCAAGGCAGATCAGCATTCTTCCATGAGATGACAATCAGGTTCCTGAATGACCTTGAAAGACTTTTTCTACTGGTCCAGGACCTGGTTCCCCAATGGGACCTCAACCTAGTCCTCTGTAGGCTGACTGGCCCTCCCTTTGAGCCTCTAGCCTCCTGCTCTCTTTCGCACCTGTTGTGGAAGGTCGCTTTCCTTGTAGCTATCACTTCAGCGAGGTGAGTCTCCGAGATTAAATCCCTTACATTGGAGTCCCCGTACATGGTGTTCTACAAGGATATAGTTCAGTTGCATCCCATCCTGCTTTCCTGCCAAAGGTGGTGTTGCACTTCCATGTTAACCAGGACATCTTCGTCCTGGTGTTCTGTCCAAGGCCTCACCCGTCCAATTAAGAGAGGTGTCTGCAAACCCTATAAGGCATGCCCTGGCTTTCTGTCTGAAGGGTACTAAGCCCTTCCTCAGATCAACTCAACTCTTCGCAATGGCTGACTGGATGAAAGGCCTTCCGGCATCTTCTCAAAGGATCTTGCCTTGGATCACCACCTGCATCCATACTTGCTATGAGATGGCACAGCTTATGCCTCCACTGATGGCCCATTCTATTAGAGCTCAGGCATCATTGGCAGCCTTCCTGGAGCAGGTCCCTATCCAGGACATCTGCAGGACTGCAATGTGGTCGTCAGTACATACCTTCACAACGGACTGTGCCATCACCCAGCAGGCCAGAGATGATGCTGGCTTTGGCAGAGCTGTGTTGCAATCGACACGTCCATAAACTCCTACCTGCATCCAGAGATACTGCTTGGCAGTCACCTAACATGGAATGGACATGAGCAAGCACTCGAAGAAGAAAAAGCAGTTACTAACCTTTCGTAACTGTTCTTAGAGATGTGTTGCTCATGTCCATTCAATGATCTACCCTCCTTCCCCTCCGTCGGTGTTCTAGCGGGGAGGGAGCTGGGTGCGCTCCTTATACCAGCACATATGTGCGCCACTCCGGAGGGTGCCAGAGCTGGTCCCCTATGGATACCACTGAGGGAAAAACTTCTGGCACCCATGCATGTGGCGAGCACACACAGTCCAACTAAACCTTGAAGTCCGCTTTGACACCGGTACAGTAGATAGATTTCGTAGGGGTTTTTGGATGTGGTGATGGGCAGGGCTTACCAACCGACTGACAGATTTCTCACCCTAAAGAATCTCATCTCAAAGATCCAACTCAGCCCTCAAACCTCACTAAGGAATTGTCTTCAACTACTGTGGCATGTGATATCTGGAGTGTTTGTTTACGAAGGTTCAAGCTTACATCTCTGATGCCTTCAAGGATGGCCCAAGACAGTGTAAGTATGTATACCGAACAAGCACAGCCTGGACAAACAGGTGTCTGTACCCACCTGCATTCTGCAAACACTCAACTAGTGGAAGGACCAAAGGGTCTGTGCCAGACTCTTTTGTTCAAGCTCCTCTTACCATCATTTTAAGATCAGACACATCCCTCTTGGGATGGGAAACATATCCAGGGTCACACACAATCCAAGGCAAATTGTCACAAGAGCATCTTCACGTTAATCGTTTAGAACTTAGAGCAATGAGAAACGCTTGCATTCACTTCCTTCCTCTGATCAGAGTCATATCCATCAAGATCATGACCTACTATTTGGCCTGCATATTCTACATCAATCAACAGGGCAGGACTTTGCTGCAGCAATAAAACTCTCTGCATAGCCAACCAGATAGTCACCTGATAGTTAGCTTCTTACCTCCTGGGTGTATAGAACACCACAGCTGATGACTTCAGCAGGCTCTTCTCCCAAAATTACAAATGGGAGTTTGATTCATGAGTACTCAATATCATAGTTTTAATGTATGGATTTCCAGAAGTTGAACGTCTTTTCAACTGCCGCCAACACAAATTTCAAGGAACTTTGCTCTAGAGGGGGATGAGACCTTTAATCACTAGGGGGTACCTTCCTTATTTCACCTTTACGTTTGAAGGTGTGGAATAAGATCGAACAGGACAGGGCCAAAGTCATTTTTAATTACACTGACTTGGCTGAGACAGGTTTGGTATCCTTATCTTATTTGATTTGCTTCTTGTCCACCACTGAGACTTTGTCAGTTGGCATCTGTTGTCTTAGAATGCCGATCAGGTTCTTCACCCCAACCTCAAAGTACTGTGACTCCTGGTATGATTCCTCAACTGTTCTTGGGTATAGATACCTCCTGCTCAACAGGGGTACTGTTAAATAGAAAAGAGACATCTACATGAAATACTTCAGAAATGGAAGAGATTACACCACTGGTGTATCTGTTGATTAGTCTTTCCTGTTCAAGTTTTTCTTTCCATTATTCTGGAGTTACCTGTTGGAATTAAAATATCAGGTCTTGCTATGAGTTCTGCCAAGGTTCAGTTGGTGGCTGTAACAGCTTTTCACTCAGCTGTGGAAAGTTTGTATATTTGCTTATCCAACAGTGTCAAGATTCCTTAGAGGACTGATGAAACTTTGACAGACTAGGGAACCTACCCTGGTATAGAACTTGAATTTTGTTTTTACTTGCCTTTTGAAATGCTCCTTTTAGCCATTGCTCCATGTTCACTGCTCCACCTATTCATGAAAACAGCTTTGTTGATGGCCATCACATCTGCCCAGAGGCACAGAGCACTTGGGCCTTCAGTGACAGACCCTGCTTTTACAGTGTCTTTTAAGGAAAAGATATTGTTGTGACAACATCCCAGGTTTCTGCCTAAAGTGTCTTTTGAATTAGAGACATCATTCACCTTTCATTTTTTTCCCCTGAAACCACAATAGATGAGGCAGGAATCTGCCTTTTATACTTTGGATGTCAGGAAGGTGTTCGGTGTAGTTCTGTCCAGATAGAAGGCTTTCTGAACAACTCTCCCAGACTTTCAATTGCAAACAAATCCAAGGGCTCTACAGTCTCCACCCAGAGACTCAAGATTGATCTCTGGATGGATTATTTAGTTATGATTCTGCCAATATTCAGCTTCCTTCTAGAGGGTTAGCCCACTACTCAAGATTTTTCCAGTTGCTGAAACTTGCAGAGCTGCAACTTAAACTTCAGTATATGCTTTCTCCTAACCATGCTCTGGTTCATGCCTCTAAATCAGATGTTTCAGTTGGCAATGCTGTTCACTGTTTTCAGTATTGGCACTCCGTTCTCCTTATGAGGATACTTCTCAGGAATCACCTAAAATGGAATACCCATAGGGACACTACTCAAAGAAGGAGAGGTTACTTATCTTGTGCAATAACTGGAGTTCTTCGAGATGTGTATCCCTATGGGTTTCCACTACCCATCCTTCTTCCCGTCTGCTTTGGATTTTCTCTTCCAGACTTTGTGATAGAGCATTGTTATGACAAGGAACCATGCAACAGTCAAGGTTTGCTGGAGCATAAATTTGCTCAGCAATGCCCCCTCCTCCTATCTGCATAGGAGGCATGAAGGGGCAGCTGAATATAGCTACACACAAGAGGGCCAGAATCTGATCTGAGTTAGACTAATATAATTCTGGAGACACTCATTTGATTTTTAAAGCAAAGTATAATGAAACAATCAGGCCCAAACAGTGGATACGGGGCAGATTAAATCAGTGGTTATCTGACATTCCTATGCTGATACTTCCAAGGATATAAGAAGGCAACAATGCACTACTATAGAGTAGGTTTTACTATTTAATAATATTTAAGAGTTTTAAATTCTTCTAATATTGTCAAATAATTGGACAGTTTTAAACTATTTCTGTTTTACTTTCCACTATTTTGTGTAGCTCTGAACCATTTTTGTTATCATTTGCAGTGGTCAACATTGAATTTTTTTTACTCTGTATTTCAGAGAAGCCAAAATTAACAGCTATTTGTGTGATCAGATCTGCTGC